ATTCTTTATACCTATCTAGTATCTTAATTAATAAAGAAGATCCTACTTAAAGAAGCTACTAATATCCTTTTAACTACTAAGCTTTTTACTAGTTTTTTCCTTCTTTTCTAGCCTTTACTAGTATATCCGTCTTATTTTTCGCTACCTTTATAAGAAGCTATCGCTACTTCTACTTCCCTTCTTACCCCTACCCTCCTCTCTATACCTCCTTTTAGCTCCTTCCTTAAAACCTATTTTTTAGCTTCCTAGGTCCCTTATACTAAAGGATATCTCCGAGAACTACGAAATTAAGCTACGCTTCGCGATAATTACTAGCGGCTCTTACGCTAACTATATCTAGGATTCGACTAAGGCGCCTATTTATAAATAGCGGTGCTTCCCTAAATACTATAGGGCTACTTACGACCTTAATAGATTCGCTAACTATATATATAGTTATAATTTCTATACTAACCTCGAGACTAATAAATTTTATAATAAGTATATTAGTAATAAGACCGCCCTTTATCTTCTTTATAATATCCTTAATCCCTTTAGTCCTACTAAGGATTTAAAGGAAGGGGAGGAAATTAACCTTACGCCCGTTTTACCTAAAAGGAGATTATATAAGTTTAACGAGCTCTCTCTTAAATAATAATTAGATAGTCTTTAAGTTCGCTTAATAGTAGTCTATAATAGGTTTACTAGGAGTAGGTAGCTTTATTTAGTTACTATCTTTAATAGTAAAAGTTTTTCTCTTAAGGTTATATACGTTTAATTTAGTAGGTCGAAAATATATTAAAATTTATCTTATAGGCATATTTATTTTCGCTATTATAGGTCTCCCCTTCTATAATAAAGAATAGATATCCCTATCTATAAAGTAAAAAATCCTATTTTTAAAGGAGGTAGGTAGTAAGAATATTTATTTTCTTACTTTATTATTTAATTATATTTTTATTTATCTTCTTTTAGGTAGTAAATAGTAAGTTATTATTAAGGAAGGGTAGGAAATATTATCTTTATTTACTTAGGGAGCTTTAAGTAGAAAATTTAAAATATTAAAGTAGTAGGTAAAGCGCTTATAAATATCTTAGCTATTATAGTTATCCTTTAATTAGATAGTTAGACGGTGCCTTAGTTACTAGTTAGGTTTTAGTATACTTCTTATAATATTTATAGATTTTTACCTTTACTACCTTTTCCTCCTTAGCTCCTTTTTACTTTTTACTTTTCTTATTAAATTAGCGTCTTTAAAGCTCCTATATAAAGATCCTTTTTTAATTTACTAAGTTATAGTAGCTAAACCTTAATTATATACCTTAGGCCTTTCTTAAGTATTTATAGTCGCTCTTCTTCTTCTTCCTAGCTTTAATCTTTCTAAGGTTTATTAAGGAGTCGTTATAACTATAGTACTATTTAATCTAAGGCTTCTTTACTTAGTAAGAGTAGTAAATTATTTACTTTATCTATTATTTCTTCCTTCCTCCTTTTATTAAGAGTAATCTTATCCTAGAGTAATTAGTCGTCCTTAGTAAAGTACTATTAACCTTTCTTATCCTTTTTAAACTTCTTTAAATACTCTCTTAGGATTATCTTATTAAGCACGATTCTATCTAAAGTCTTAATCTTATACGCCTTAGACTATTCTAAGCGCGATACTACTTAAAAGGGACCGTTTTACTTTATCTAATACTTAGCTTACCTCCTTAAATTATTTAATTATTTTATATTAAATAGTAAGATAAGGTCTTTAAGTTATAAGCTTTCTTTCCTTATTATATACTTATTAGCTTTATTTATCCTCTTTATTAATTAATTCTAATATCTTATTACTTTTTTCTTAGTATCTTTTATATCTTTTTCTTTTCTTTTTAAAACTTATACTTATACTTTAAATAATTCTTTTCTTATCTTTACTTTATCTTAGTTAATTAGTCGCTAAGTTAGGTATTTTACTTTAAGAGGTAGTACTAGTTCTTATCTATATAGTAGGTAGAAAGCTAATATTCTATAAGACTCTTTAACTACTATTTAGTCTATAAGTATTACTTAGTTAAGGTATTTAATCTACTTACCCTTTTTCTTTACTATTTTTATAAGTACTATTATTAACCTTTATTACCTTTATTTTACTACTATATTTACCTTTAAATTATATACTAAAGTTTAAATAACTTTAACGCCTATATCTTCTAAGATATACTTAAAGTCTTTTTTTATTTTAAGCCCTCTATTAATTATAGCGTATAGTATTATACTATACTTATAAATAATAAAGAGTATAAATTTAGTTATAGCTCCTATAGTAATTTCTTTAACTAAGGTTACTTTTACCTATTTAATAAGGTCGTCTTATACTTCTATAAGGTATAAATACCTATAATTAGATAGTATATACTAGCTATTAAAGTAAATCTTACTTATAGGGTAGCTAAGCGCGGTCGCGGTTATAACTTCCTAGGGTTTCTTAGTTATAAAGTATTAGTATTCTTTATAAGAAGAGATTACGCCGTAAATATCGTTTTAAAGGCTAGCTTACTAATACTTATTCTTTATAAACGTATATATAACTTATTATCTTTTATATCCTATTTACGTATAGTACTTTATAATAATCCTTTTCTGTTTTTTTAGGTCGTTTATAACTAGTATAGGTCCCCTTTCTTCCTTCTTAGGAAGTTACTAAAGCTTTTAATCTTTAATATAGAAATTTAGACTCTTTAAATATAGCTTCCTATAGTCTTATTTAAAAAGGCCCTCTAGCTATTTTAGCGTTTAAAGGAAGTCCGTAATTATCCTCGATTCCTTTAAGTAGTCCCCTTATAGCTTAGTCCCTTATACTACGTTTAAGTAAAAGTCTATAAATTCTTTAATATCGCCTTTTATTTTCTTATTTAATACGTTAGAAGGTTCTTTAAGCTTTCTTAAGAGTCTATTAGCTACGCTATTCTTCTTACCTTCGATATATCGTATAGTAAAGTTAAAGAGGAAAATATAGCTTATCTAGTAAGTTACGATAGCTTTAAGGACGTTTTTAAGGGCACCTTTTAGTTAATTAACTAAGACCTATATATTAGTTTCTAGGATAAAATATACGCTATATAGGTATATTCTTAGTCTCCTAAGCGTACTTAATATAGCCCTATACTCCCTCTTTATTATATTATATTTAGTTTCTACTAGTAACTACGTTTTACTTTTAAACCTTATAAGGCGCTTCTTTCTATTAATAATTTATATTAAGACTACCCTCTAGCTAAGTAAACTAGTATTATATATTAGAATAATATCTCCTCTTCCTAGGCTAACGTTAAGGGATACTAAAAAGACTAGATTAATAATAGCTTCCTTAAGGGTAGCTATCGCTTTTACTTATTTATTTCCTTATTCCTAATAGACTTCTTTCTTTAGTAGGTCTATAAGGGGTTTTACTAAGATAGCGAACTATTTAATCTAGATTTAATAGTATCCTATAATACTAAGGAAAGCTTTAATATATATTATATTAAAGTATCTTATTTATTCCTTAATTTTAATAACTTTAGCTTTTATAAGGCACCTTTTATTTATTCTATAAATATAACTAATAACTTTAGTTACTTACTAGTAGAATTTTAATTTAGCCCTTATAATTATATAACTAAAGAGTTTAATATTAACTAAGACTTTATTAAGGTTAATAAGGTATTTAAAGATAAATCTCCTTACTCTTAGTACTACCTCTTTATTATTATACGTTATATTAGGCCCCTTAATACCTATATTATTAAGGAAATTCCTATAGATATTTAGTATAAGGTCTTATAGGATTCTTTATATTATCCTTATAAATTAGCTAACTAAGTTTATAGCCCCTTAAAGGAGTATATATATATATAAGAGGCTAATAGGTATCGTAAATATTATTAAGTTATAACTTTTAATATTAAGAGGGATCTAATTATGGCTTAAAAAAGGGTCTAGGAGGGAAAGGATCTTATATATTAAGAAGTAGTCGCTAAACTTATCTATATTTAGCGGTAAGTTTATATCTCTTATTATAACGGCATTTATATATATAGCGGAATTAATTAAGCGTAGTCTTCTATCTTTCTTTACTACTAAGAAAAAAGGGTTCTTATAAGGCCTATACCCTTCTTTAAGGACTCCTATTTCTAGTTTAATTTTAAGGATATTAATAACTTTCTACTCTATCGCTTTTAAGATTAAGATTAAAGCTACCATGCCCCACCCCCCTTTCGGTAACACCCACCTTTCGGTAGCGCATTAGGAAATATCCCCACCAAAACCCATCAATTTCACTTACACCGATTCCAGCCAGCTTTGAAGATATTCACAAGCCGTCACTTGGAGTAGATAGAGGATTGATTGAATTCTACTTTTCGATGGTTGAATGTTTGTACAGGGGTCTGTGGCCTGTGCGTACCTTGCACGAGATTACCATCCAACCCCTAATCTCCTTCCGCCTCCTGACGATGATTCTTCTCGTTATTCCTCCACCACATGACCAAAATGACCTTAAAGCGGCCTCAGGTATTTATACGGAGGATATTATAGCTAATGCGATAATTGATGTCACAAAAACGGCTTGTCGCAGTACCGCGCCGCCAAAAGTATGACATACCTCAGCAGTCTATTTCCGACAGACTCAAAGGCCAGGTAGCCCTGGCTGATCAGATCCAGCCTCGTCAACTCTTGAGTAAGTCTCAGGAAGCTCGCTTGGTTTCTTGGATCCTCCGCCAAGAGTCTCTCGGCTATACTCCCTCCCACAGTCAGATCCGCGCATGTGTGGAGGCTCTTATGAAGCAACTGAACAACGAGCGGACAGTGGGGCGCAACTGGGTCTCTAAATTCATCAATCGCCATCCGGACATCAAGAACAAGCGTGGGAGACGTCAGGAAGCTAACCGATTTAATGCTTTTACGCCTCGTGCGGTTCACTGGTTCTTCGATATCAGGAAAAGGAGTATGGATGGATTAAACCAGAAAATACCGTGAATGTTGACGAAGGCGGTATTATGTCTGGCTTTGGTGAGTATTTGGCTTGTCTTTCATTACTTTTACTAACCAGACTCTTTTTGCCAGGTTTGGATAGTCTTGTGGTTGGGAGTGCAGACCCAAAACGGAAGGCCCTTCTGAAAGGGCCACAGTCCCGCAACTGGACCTCATTTATTGAAACTATCACCGCGGACGGCCGTGTCCTTACCCCTGGCATTATCTTTAAGGGCAAAGAACTTCAGAAACAGTGGTTCTTGACGGAATTCGGCAAAATAGCCGACTGGCATTACATAACGTCGCCCAACGGATGGACGGACAACCATATCGCTATTGAGTGGCTTGAGAGGGTCTATTTGCCCCAGACGCGACCAGCCGATGCCTCAGATGCTAGACTGATCATATTAGATGGACATGGAAGTCATGCAACGGTGCGTTTCTTTATCCACCTCTGTAGGAATTACCGTTAACCGGGACCAGGATGCATGGATGGCCACATGCTTTTTGAACAACGTTTATTGCTGTTACCTTCCTGCCCACTGCTCTCATGGCCTCCAGCCGTTAGATAACGGTGTATTCAATGCCTCCAAGGCAGCTTACCGGAAAGAACTTCAGAAATTGACCTGTTTGACCGATTCTGCGCCTGTTCATAAGGTCAATTTTATACGAGCATATGCTAAAGCGCGCGAGGTTGGAATGACGGCAAAGAATATATTGTCCGGCTGGAGGTCACTGGGAATTGGCCGATCTCACGATCAAGGCATTGCGGCATCAGAAATTCACGCGGACATTGTAGAGACGTCTCCAAAGTCCGCGCCATTTTGGGTTCTGATGATACGCCAAGAAACAGCCGCCAGATTCGCGATTTCGGAAAGAACAAGACTCCTGGCACCCGGAGACGATACGCCGTGATAGCTAGAGGCTTTGAAGCCCAGAACAGACGCTTGCCGAGCACAGCAACAGAATCGCGAAGCTAGAGGAAGAAGTGGCCCGGCTGCAGAGAGGCAAGAAGAGGAGAGCAATTCCGAACCCGAACAGACGGTTCATGACTCTCAGTGAAGCTTTGGTGGCTGAGGAAGCCATTCCCCAAATTAAAAGCCAAGAGATAGCCGTTGTGCTGAATTCTGACACAGAGGAGGCGGTCTCAGAGGTGGAGACAGCTTCAGTGATCGAAGTCAAGGTGGCACCGAAGCCCTTCCAGTCACCACCAGATCCGGGCGAATGGTAAAAAAGCGCCGGTACATATAAGAGCGTCCATTTCTCTACGGAATGATATAATTTTTGTGTTTATAATGTTAAGTTCTGATCATATTTCATGTAGTTCAAATGGTAGACTTTTGGTGGAGAATTTTTCAATTGCGCTACCGAAAGGTGGGTGTTACCGAAAGGGGGGTGGGGCATGGTACTTACTACGCCTTATATTCTATTATCTTAATAACCTATAAGGGGGCTATAGCTAGGTCGACTTTACTTTTTTTTATAAAGTCTTAGGATAACGCTACTTTTTTATTAAATAGAATACTATTAAAGATCCGGATTTCTACCTTTATAAGAAAGCTATTAAATTATTTATAAATTACTTTAAGTCTTTCTTATATTAGCTACTTTCCTTTCTATATACTTAAGAATTTTCCTATTAAGTATTCTAGGTAAGGTCTAGGCTATATCTTATCTTTAACGGTATTCTATTTAGTCTTCTTTTAGTTAGGGTCCCTTTTTAGTATTAAGCTATTTAATAAAGTATTATTAATAAGGTTAATCTTATTTACTTTTCTTTTAAAGAGAGTATTAACTCTTAGATTATATAATCTAATAGGTCGTTCCCTCCCTATCTTAACTTTAACCTCTTAGATCTTTCTAAACTTCTTTCTAGCTTTAATAATATTTTTCTTAAATACTCCTATAGCCTTTATAACTATAACCTTAATAATCTCTTTTACTATTTTAGATCTAATAGCTAGAATCGCCTTATCTCCTTTATCTATAATTAATTACTATTATACTAGTACTATTAAGGGCTCGTTTATACTAGCGTAGGCTTAGTTAAGGACTTAGTTAGCGCCCCCTTTATAGCTAAGGATCTTACCTCTTAGTAAGAGAATCTCGGCTATTAAGGTATCTATAAAGAGTTCTCTCTATAATTATTAAGTAGCTCCTAGGTTATCCTCTTTAACCTTTATTACTAAAGCTTAAATTTTTTTTCTTAGGAGCTAGGTAGCTATTTCCTATATAGTCTCCTTAAGCTTTAGTCTTTTTTATATGTTTTTATTAACTATTAAGGTTATAGTTTAAAAGGATTTTACTATATCGACCTCGTTTAAAAGCTCTTATTTAATAGCTCCTACCGCTAGTATAACTACTTAGATAGTACTAATTTAATATTTAACTTATATATTACTATTCCTTAAAGAATAATTAAATAATATATATATAGCTTTAATAAATAGTATACTTAAGATAAAGGAGACTAAGACTCTATTTAGTATAATATAAAGATAGATTAGTATCTAGGCTATACCTAAATAAAGATTAGTCTTTACCTCCCTAACTATATCTATAAGGGACCTAGTATACGCCGTTATTAATACTCTTATTAGTAGGATTTTAAGCTTATATATATTTATATATCTTTTAATAATAAGTATTATAAAGTAAGTAAAAGCGTATATATAGGTACTATTTATAAGATAATATTAATAAGTTATATAAAGCTCTCTTATATATAGCTAGCCTATATATATATATATAGGATCCGGCCCTCTATATATAACTATATAGCTTAGGCTATAGCCTAAGCCTATAACTTATAATAGTTAAAGACTCTTATATAATACCCTCCCTTAAGCGCGGCGCGGCGTTACTTAATTAATAGCTTTTATATTATTAGCCCTATACCGCTAGCTCTACCTTACCCTTTCCCGTTAATTATACTAGCCCTAATAGCCCTATTATCCCCGCGCCTATTAGCCTAGGTAGCTAGAACTAGGCTCTATACTTATTAGCTAGCTAGCCGTTTAAATAAGGGCGTAACCTATTATATATACCCCTAAGTAGCCGGCGGCCGGCCTAGACCTATATAAGCCTTAGGTTACCCGTTCCCTTAGCCTTAAGTAGCCTCCTCTACCTAGGGGTATATAAGGTAGCGTCCCCCCCTTCTTTCTTCCTTTCCTTCTCCTCCTTCTTTAACTATAATAATAGTAGTAATAGGTAAGTTCTACTCTACTTAAGGCATTAGTTTATTCCTAGCTATATAAGCCGCTTTATTAATATATACTTATAGTAATAGCTATTATAGTAATAATAGCCCTAATAATAATAACTTTAACTAATAAGTTCTCCGCCCTATAAAGTAAGAGGCTATAATCTATAATACTAACTTCCGCGATAGATATATTTACCTCCCCCTCCCTTACTTCCTTCTTCTTAGAGCGTATAAAGTTATTTATTAACGCTATACTAGGCACGGCTAACGACGGCTCCGCCGCTACCGCTACTCCTACCCGCGCCCCCGCGACTACGCTTACTACCGCTACCTTTACCTCTACTATACTAGCCGCCCTTATATCGCCCTTCTAAATAATAACGCTATCCCCGCCGCTAGCTATAACGCCCGGCCCCTCTACCCCTACCTCTACCTTTACTACCCCTATAAGTCTACTACCTAGTAAGCGTAGTAGCTATTTCCCGCTAACTTCTTAAAGTATAAACGCTAAGTATAGGCTAGAGCCGCCCGCGTAGCCCCTTAAAAATAGTACGCGTTATAGGAGCTCCCTTACGCCGACTAAGTCTAGCGCCGCTATAGCGGTAGTTATTACTAGTATATATATACTAGCCGCGCCTATAAGGCGGCGCCTCCTATCTTACTCGCTACGGCGTTAGCTTAAAAGGCTAGCGCGTATAAATAAGTATAGGGAGCTACTAAGAAGCGCCTTACCGCCGCCGCTACCGCCTATTATAATCTCCGCGCCCTTAAGCGCTAAGGCCTTATCCCTAAGTAAGTTCCTCTTTTCTAGCTCTTTTACTTCCGCTACTAACTCTCTTAGTACTAAGGATACTACCTCTATCGCCCTATCGTTAGTCCCCTTAGCCGTGCCCGCCGCGGCCCCCGCCGCTACTACTAGCTAGGCCCCCCCTACCCTTAAAGCCCTTATACCCGCCGCTACCGCCGACTAGCTCGCGGGCCTAGAGGGCCGCCTAAGCGCCTTAGAGAGCGCCGCTACTACTAATAAAGTAAAGGAGGATAACGAGGATAAGGATAAGGATAATAATAAGGATAAAGAGTAGGTCTAGGTAGTCTAAGGGCTCCGCCTTAAAATAAACGCTATTTTTATCTCCGCTTATATTATTATACTTATATTATTATAACTACTTACTTTACTTTACTTACTTTATAGTCTTAGCTTAAGCTACTATTAATAGTTTATTAGTTTATTATTCTTATCTATCGTTTTAAATAAAGCTTTAAACTTATTAAGGGCTATAGTTCCTATAAACTTATATATAGGTTCCTATATAAGGTTAAGATACCTATACTACTTAATAAGGACCTCCTAGCGTTTCCCCTTACTAACCTTTTTCTAGCGCGCAGCCTATATTATTTTAACCTTAAACTTATCCTCTCCCTTTACCTCGATTATAGGCAGTTAAGCGTCCGCTACTTCTTATCTAAGTAATAGGTTAAAGGAGGCTCTATAAAAGAGGTCTACGTTAATCTTATTATAGACCTTTATTAAGAGACTATCGAGCTCTATAACTTATAGGCTAATAACCCTTTATATTATAAACTTTATATATAGCTAGTTAAGCTTCTTTTTTAGCTATACCGACCTATAGTTATAGAGGTCTAGCTATACTTTATCTCTTACTATAAATATATCTACTAGGGCCTTAGTCTTATTAACGTGCCGCTCTTAATCTTATACCGCGGTAGCTATCGCGGATTAGTAATAATCTATAGTCTTTTATAGCTTTTATATAAACGTAGAGGTATAGCCCTTTAATAATAAATTATTATATTACTCTACTACTACGTTTATAGTAAAAGGAACTAGTAAGGGTAGTTTAAAGCTATATATTATAAAGAAAGGGGCTATCTTAATAAAGGTATATAGTTTATTATTTAATATAAGTTAAGCCGCGGGGAGCTACCGGTCTTAGTCTACTTAATTACGGGCTATAATAGCCTATAAGTAAGCCTACGCTTCTTAGTTAACCCTCTTAGGCCCTTTATTAGTCTATAAGTAATATACTATACTAAGTAGCTATATAATCTAAAGTAGCTAGTATAGGTACTATTAAAAGTAACTAGTTTAATTTAATCCTTTATCGCTTATAATAAAGGCTAGCTAGCTATATAAGCAGGCTTAGTATTTTAAGAAGCGCTTTATATAAGACTCTATATTTATAGATAGTATTAGCTTTAATATTATAGACTTACTAAGTCGGTCCTTAATTACCTATATATAGCGGTTACCGCCCTTTATAAGTAAGAGGTCTATTATAAAGTCT